CAGATTGACTTGTTCATAATTTTCATTCCCTACTCAGCTCCACCCTCCCTTCCTCCTACACCAGGTCCTATGGGCCCTGCTCCACCCAGGTTTCTTCCGACCTCTCCCTTTTGCCTTCCCATACTCCAAACCGGAGCACTCCCCTGAAAGCACACCAAGAGCCTCTGGATCCCTGTTGACCACACTCTGCTGCTGAGCTGTGACCAGCTACATCCGCCACCGCCAAATTCCTCCTCCAAATTCCAGACTGTTCATTCCTTTCTGGTGAGACCTGCACCTCTGAAGTGCTCACAGAGAGTGGACTAAATTAGTCAGGTGGTTTTTGAAGCTCTAATGTAATGATTTAGCAGGCTGTATCCTTGAAACCTATCCCCCTAGCTGAAGGACCTGCTATTTATCCTGCTGCTGTAGTGTGCTACATGTTCACAGTCCTGCAGAAGTCGCTTCATGCAAGCCAGGTAGAGCAGAAGTCAGCACACAGCAAGATGTTTCCTCCTCTGGAATTCAGACACCCTCGTGAAGAGCACGGGGAACGTATCAAATGGAATTTATCATTTTCCATTAAATCACACTGTATCACCCTGGCAGCAAATCCCTGCAACAAGGCAGCAGATGCTCCTAACACAGATTTAATCTATCACTTCAAACGACCAGCGTATAGCCACCATAATGAAAAATCTGGACTCAAGACCAGCAAGATTCCACATGGGCCAAATAAAAAAGAAGCAAGAGCAGACAGAAGAGTATTTGGCACTGCAGGACAGAGAGAAACAAGTGTTCACTTCTACAGCTTGGAAGAGAGAGTTCACGAAAGCGTGGTGGTGTCTGTCATTCAGAAATGCCAGGAGGCAGGCAGATCATCTAATCAGATCAAGAGCAAAGCAGCAGCAAGAAGGGGACATGGGAAGTTCTGGTACAGAAGAAAATGGTGCCACAGAAAGAACAAGAGATTGCCAGGGTTTCTGGACTCTGGAATAAGCTGAATAAAGATGGAAAAAAAGCATGTCAGATGGAGGTGGCCTGGTAGTGGGCTCCATGTAAGAAAACCCACAGAAGAGGAGTCAGATAAATTCAAACATTTTCAAAGGAAGTTGTTTTCTAACTGTAAAACAAGATGACCTTTCCAAAAGCCAGCCACCCCTCCATTCCTTTGCTTCAAAAATCACCTCTACATGAAAGCCTTCCCCCAAAATCCTGCTCGAGCCCTGAAAACAAACTTGCTGTGGTCAAACTTGCTACCAAAGACTGTATATACTCTCACTCACATTTTTCTAACTGATCTCCGTTTGCTGCTCTCCTCTTCCGCCCCTACACGCACATCTCCGTAGTCCTTTAAACTCTTCTCCCAAGGAATGGGCACACGCAGATCCTATTCTGTGAAACAAGCACACTTCCCTTTCCCCCCATCTTCATTGGTGGTATGCACAAATCCTCCTCCCAGTCTGTCTCTCACACAAAAGTCATGTTTCCAGGAAGCACTCCTCAACTGGAAAGTGTTCCCCCAACCCGAACCAAAGACCTCTCCCATTGCCCTCCCTCAGGGAAAACACGTGCCCAGATCGAGTATTGCTGTCCTGTCTTTCCCTGGTGGAAGGGCAATTTATTTTCCAATTTTCATCCCATATCCACCTGGGATAACATGCAGATTCTCACCCCTATGTTAGGTATCTGTCCCTACCCACATGACCTCCAACAGAAATATCCTTAAATAATGCCTTTCCTGCATGTGATTTGTGTGCCTGGGACTAAAAAGTGCACCTCTTCACTGCTCAAGTTGTATTAGCACAAGCCATTAGGACACATATTGGGTCAAACCTTAGGTGGACCTAACCTCGCACCCTCGTTCTACCAAAATGCAGACCTCCTCATCAACTGACTGCGGGCCACCTGTGGCACCAGCTGGAGGAAACTTGGTGGGGGGCTGGAAAGGGGGAGGACCGTGGGGCCTACTTCTGCTCACTCTTCCTGATGTGTCTCCAGGGCACAGCATCTCTAGGCAGCATCCACCAGCTCCTTGGCTTTTTTCAGGAGCAGTTAGCACTCAGGGGTGCTCCGCTTGCTTTTCCTTCTGTTCCCCAGCTGTAGGTATTTGACGCTTACCTTGCTCATGAGGGAGAGGGCATTTAGGTTTTGCTAGGGATGGGCTGATACCTGTCACGACTGGAGAAAGCCTGTAGCAGCTACAGACAGCACTTGATACGGAAGAGCGCGAGCACAGCAAGTCCAAAACAATACTTCCTCCAAGTCTCTCCTGGGATATGCAGCACAACCAAGATGGTGTCTTTGCACATTCTCATTTTGGGTCATTTTCTCTTCCATGAACCGGTCCACTTCTTTCCTGAGCTCATGTAAACTTTGAGCATCCATTACGTCATATGGTGAGTAGTTCCACACTTCAACTTAAGTACGTTTCGCATGAAAAATTATTTTGTTTGCTCTGAACAGAGACCTTTTTGGTTTCACTTAATGCCCTCCAGTCCTCATGCAGGAAGAAACAGTGATCAGTCGCTCCCTGTTCATTCCCTCCAGGCCATTTGTGATACTCCATACCTCTGTCATCTTATAGAGGAACAGCACTATCATTTTCAGACGGACTGAAGAAATCTTGTAGACGTTTATCTTCCCTGTGCAAAAGCTGTCACATATTGAGTCTGATCACGCCATTTTCTGCTCCCCGTTCTCTGTACTTCTTCTGACTTTACTACATCTCTTTTGAGACTAAAGGACCAGAATCTCATCTGCCTGTTCTCTATTGTTTTTCTAATAATTCTTTGCCAGAAGAGTCTAAAAATTTGGGGGAACTCGAACACCAGAGAGGAACCCATGATCCCAGGATAGGTCACGACAAGAAGTCTGATGCTCCCAAGCCAAACTGACATAACAGCTGGAGTTAAACTACAGCATTCACAAACACAAGCTCTTTGGGCGACAACAGGAAGGAGACGCAGTGCTTAGGACAGCTACACAGTACCTGCTTTCAGGGGCAGGATAGTAGCTATCTGATCACAGACTAAATAAAACATCCATATAACATTTGCATTTATAATCCAAAAGATGCTCTTGAAAAGCTAACCAAAACCCAGTAATATCTCAGTCCAAATGGGTTCCATGTAAACACAAGGTAGGACTGTGACTCTTCAGCAGGGTATGAAGGAGTATGAGCAGCGCAAGGATCGGCAAGTTCACCGCAGATCAGTCACAATTAGCCTCCTCTGCAGAAAAGACTTCCACTCATTCATAAGTCCTAACCTGCCTGTAACACACATTTTCCAGTAGGTTGAGAAATATCCCCACCTAAAGTATAATTTGATCCCAAGCTACACGATGGAAGAGAGCCGATAAAAGTGTCACACTAGTGTCTCCATACCTGAACAATGCACCCTCACAACTGAACCCCACAGGCAGCCTGGCTCACAGTAATTCAGAGGAAGACAAGCAGGAAAGACAAAGAGAATGCAAAAATATTAGAGACATCAAGAGAGCAAGAATCTGCCATTTGTATACAAGAGAATCTGTTTAGGTAGGGATGCGTAAATTGTACAGTTTAACAAAAACAAACCAAGTTATTTTGGCCTGAATCAAAGACAAGTTTTTGGTTTGCATGCTGGTTTTTGGTTTTCTTTCCAGATTTCACAGCAAATTTCATAACATGTCGGTGATTCAACAAGAAACTTTAAAACAAAAAAATAATGACCTGTTTCTCAATTTTTAAATAAAAAGGTGACTTATCTATACTCACTGACGAGCACCTATCCAAACAAGCTACAGTCAAATGCTTTGTCTCTCTGGCACAAGTAATACTTCACTAACTTTTAAAAAATGGTACAATTTCCACAGGGGCTATGTAGTAAAGCTTCCTCCAGAACCTCCTATAGCCCAGTAACGTCTTAAGGCCTCCTCCTCTCTGAGTGGCAGGTTCAAATTCCAGTTCTCGTTTGCAGTGTCCTACGCTCCAGATTACCCAGCAGAATAGGAACATCATCGTTTCAGTTCCTGCTGAATGGTACATTAGGGCCTGAACACGAGAGCTCGTCCCGTACCCAAGACTCCCGCCTTGCGAAAGCAAAACCTTTGGGAGTCGGAGACGTCTGGGTCGAGCTGGCAGCTGTCTGCTGAGCAGATTTCCAGCCCTCTGCTTCTACAGAGAGGTCACGTCGGCATGGTGTGTAGCAGCACGCTAAGGATTTATCACCAGCGTTACCTGAGCAGGGAGCTCTGTGGCTAAGCAGAACTGCGGAAGAAGTTGCAAGCGCAGGCTGAAGTCCCAGACAATAAGCAAAAAGCACCTCTATCGCTTTTAATAAACACATTTGATACCTTCCGTGGTTTACGGATTAAGCCGGAGTTTTTAAGTTCCCATTGCGCATTGCTCCCCAGTAAGCACGGCGCACAGGACCGCTGGTTCGGGCAAAGCGTGTCTCCTCCACGGGCAGGAGACACCTTTACCGGGCAGAGGAGCTCCCCTTCCCGCGGCAAGCCGCAACGAGCCTGCGGCTCCATGGGGAGCACGAAACCCACCCGGGAGTCCCGCTCCGGCACCGGAGGCGCTTGAGACCCGCCGGTTCCGGCTGCTCCGCTGCCCGGCCCCGGTCTCGGCGAGAAGCACGGGGAAGCCGGCCGGGGCTCGGACAGGCCGAAACCGCACTCCCCACCGGGGGCACGGGCCGTGGCGGGGAGAAGGAAAGCGGCGCGGCCGGGAGGAGGCCGCTCCCGGCCGGGTAGGCCGGGGCAGCGCCCGCCCGCTCCGCTCAGGGGCCGGCGAGAGGCGGCCTCGGGGAGAAGGCGCCGGCGGCCCCAGGCGGCCCCGGC